GCATATCTGCAACCCCTGCACTTGGGAGGCACAGCACAAGAAGCAGAGGACGAGACCTGTCATAGGGAAAACTGTAGCTGGACATCTTGGTGCCCCCCTTCATCCCAGTGCTTGGGTGACAAAGGCAGGCAGACCACTGTGAGTTCCTGGACAGCCAGGGCTATGTAGATAGACCTTGAGCCCAAAATAAAACAAATTGTATACTTTACTGTATAATATAAACTCAGTAATGTTTGCATGGATTTTTAAAAATGGAAGCATTTCTTCTCTCTCCTCTCTTCTCTTTCGGTTTTCTCCTCCTTTTTCTTCTTTTCTTTTTCTGGTTGTTTGAGATAAATTTTACTCTGTAGCCTAGGCTAACCAGGAACTTAGAGCAATCTCCCTGCCTCAGTTTCCTCAGTACTGGTATTGGAGGCATAAGCTACCACACCTGGCTTTAAAAGACACTACCACTCAAAATTCTTTCATATTTTAGGGGAGAAATTTAGGATTTGATATTTTTAGACAAAGTTATTTGTCCTTAGGCCTATCTCAGTGAAGAATTTCCTGCCCTAAGCATTAAAGCGTTGCCTCCTTAGTGAAATAAAGATACCAGAATTTCTTTTTTAACTATTTATTTAAAAAGATAAAAGTGCTGAGCTTCAGCACAGTTGGCACACAGTGGTTTGTGGGGCTGAGTGTTAACCACAGGTAGCACTCACACTAACACTTCCAGTCCTCACAACAGGACTGACTTTTGTTTATGTGGCTTCCGAATATGGGTCAAGGGTTTGTTTTCTGGGCATTCCTGACATGAACTCTGTCTCCAGTGTTGTGAAGGTTCTCTCTTTGCGGAAAGCCCAAGCACAGAGCATTCTTGAAGTCCTGAGGATAATTCAGTATTGTACAGAATCACTTGGGCAGCCTCACTGCTTCCATCCACCATATATACTTTTCCTACTGGAACTTCTGACCTGCCAGAAAGATTTTACAAAGTAAGTACAAGTAACAGATATGTCAGAAAAGCAAGCAGAGGCCATTTTACAAGAATCCTAATTGGCCTCTGTATTGATAACTGTATAAATGTCATATATGATACAAATTTACATTTTTGGTTAACATGTTCTCTCATCTCAAGAAAAAAAAAATAGGTTATATCCTTTGAGTAAGAACCACGAATGTGATTATTCCTCTTATGTACCTGACAGTAAGACTTGTGCTCCTCATGTACCACACTGTCATAAGGCTTCTAGAAGCTGTGTGCTAAGTGTGGTGTTCATTTACAGTAATGACTATGACCTTTCTCAACAAAATGTTTTTTTTTCTGCTATGCCAAATACCTTTCTAAAAATTATATATACAAAAGTGACAAGACAGGTAAGGCCTCTTTCTAATAGAGCCTGGGAAGTAAGAGAAAATATTCAAAATAAATAAATGAGACAGTCTCTGATTGTTGATACAGTGTGTGGTGACTCCATGTCCATTGGCACAGTTTGGATGGTCAAGAAAGTAGACCAAGGACAAGGCATGTAAACTAAGAGGTGAATGGCCTTCTGAAACTGGCAAAGAGTGCTAAGGGCAGAAGAAACTCTTGGTGGGATCAGGTCAAGGGACAGGGAGAAAGAACATGGCTGAGTGAGAGGGAAAAGTGGGTGGGCCAAATCAGCAGGAGGCAGAGTGTTTACATTTTATACAGAGTTGCAGGTGGGAAATGTTGGGAGATTTTGAAGCCCCGAAGGAGAAGCACAATGGGTTTAAATTTGTGAAAGATGCTTCTGAGTGCTCTGTGGGCAAGTGAGAAAATCAGAAAAGCAGTTAGGGGATTGTTGGAGTGATACAGGCAAGAAATGATGGTTTGGACCAGGGAGAAGTTTGAAAAATAAGGAGAAGTCATCCAGGATTTATTTAGGAAATGGAATTGTGTAAGATAGAGAATATGAATGAAAGATATTGGAAACATGGGAAAGAAAGTCTTAGCTACTGTTTGGAGCAGCTATGTGGATGGTGTCACATGTCACATCACTGAGAGAAAGGAGACCAACAAAGCTAAAGATTCTGAGCCCAGCGGGTCCTGCAGAGACTGATGCAGGCTGTGAAGATACTGGAGCCTAGTGCTGGAGGAGATGAGTCAGCAAAGATCAGGGAAGTGTTGTCAGTGTTAGCAGGTAAAGCAGGACATTCCAGTGCTTCAGCACAGATACAAGTTGGCTAGTAGATGGAGTGGTATAAAGATGAGGGATTCCTATGTGATCATTCTGTTGTTAAAATAAGACATGAGCAGATTCTTCAGTGAGATGAGGTAGAGAAGGTAGTGACCATTTAAGAAAGAAAGGAAGGCTTTAAGTAGAGATGAAAACAGATAGCCAGTCTGCTAAATGCTTTTTAAAGAATCATATTTGTAAGTTGGGTGTGGTGGTGTCTCCTGTACTCAGGAGGCAGACATAGGAGGATTGTTTTGAGATTGAGACCAGAATGAACTGTGCTAGACTTTGTCTCCAAAAAAAGAGTTAGTGGCTAGAGAGTTGGCCTGGACATTAAGAGTACTTGCTCTTGCTGAGGATATGAGTTTAGCTTCCAGTACCCATATGGTGGCTGATCTGTGTAACTCCAGTTCCAGGGGATCCAGTCCTCTCTTCTGTCCTCTGTGGGCACCAGGTACACACATCTTACACATGCACACATGGAGGCAAAATACTCATATGCACGAAATTAAAAAGAAATAAAATGCTTTGCTTATTATTTGAGATATAGTCTCTCTTTAGTCCTGGCTGTTTTGAAACTTGCTATGTAGACCAGGCTAGTCTTAAACTCACAGAGATCCTCTTATCTCTGTCTCTGGGGTGCTGAGATTAAAGGTGTATGCCACCATGGCCAATCTAAAAAAGTATTTTTAAAGAGAAAGAAAAAAAAACCTGACAGTTATTAATTTAAAGTGGCCTTAGTCAGCTCAATTGTATAATGTTCCTTCCACCTACATTCAGCTCTTTTGGAATAATATGAGATTCCTTATGCAAGAGAAATTGTCATAGAAAGAGAAAAAGGCCAGGGAGCTGGTGTTTGCTGACATGGGAATATGGTGATGGGCTGTGGAATCCAAGTGAGAAGAGAGCAGAGAGACACTACGATGGACGTAGTTGATGCTTTTCTGGACTGGGATTGAAAAAGGCTGTATGGAAGTCAACAGTAGAGCAGGTCAAGAGATTGTAGGTAAAGGAGCGTGTTCTGAAGGCAGTCTTCACCTGATGACAAGGTTAGTTAAGGAAATGGAATTAAAAATCCTTAGCAGTAAAGAGGATAAAGAATAGGGAGAAATGAAGGCATCATTCCTATGGATGTTGAAGTCACTTAGGTGCCAAGTATTAAGGTGTGAAAAGCCAGTCAACCAGCACTTGAAATGCATAGATGCGTAGGCAAATGGATCTCTGTGAGTTCTAGGCCTGATCTACACAGGGAGTTCCAGGATAGCCAAGACTATACAGCAACACCACCACCACCTCAAAAAAAAAAAAAAAAGGGAAAACTGAAAGTCATCAATAAAGGAAGAACAGATTAGGGCAGTGTTGGTGTGGAGAGGACTAAATGAAGTAACTTATAGAACGCATGGCATAGCATGACACACTCATGAATAAGGGATGAGTGCTTTGATTAACAACAACAACAAAAAATGATGAGTAGTTATCATCTCCATACGGGCTTCTTCTCTCTTGACCCAACTGGGCTTTCACTCAAAAGTCTTCCTCCCTTTTCTTAATCTAGTTTCTGTGCTGCTTTGTTCAGCTGGGTGCTGCTTGGCTGTTGTGTAAGAAATAAAGGTTAATGAATTGAAGTTGTCTTGGATACTAAGGTGGTGGTTTCCTCCGTTTCTAGTTACTTTGGACACTTGGAAGGTTGTGGTGCTGATCTACACAAAGAAATCCGAGACACTTACTATCAACTTGTTCTATTTTTGGTCAAAGCAATTAAAGGATTTAGTAGCATAAATGACAGGTATGGATTGCCTTTACATTTCTTGAGGGAAAATGTGGTTTTTTTTTCTGATTATAAATGAAATATGTAATTGATATTGAAAATCCAGAAAAGCACAAAATTAAGCACAGATATCACTTATAGCCTGTTATCGTCAGTGTCTGATATATTATCTGTAGATTAAAACATGGGTACAAAGCAGGTTCTCGTCTCCTCTGTAGTGAGTCATTCAGACACAAACCTTAAATCAATCTTCTGTAACTGCATAGCCTTGGCCACTTTAGAGAGTGACGCTAATGTTGGTGTCATCAGTGGTAGATGCCCCCATGTTGTCAGATTCACTTTCCACCTTTCAGAGTTGTTGGGTTTTTTTGCTTGTTTGTTTTTTAAGCTTCTAAGGATTTTTTTGTAGAATTCTTCCTTATAAATTAGTACCAAATCAGGCTGCCAACTTAGACTGTCCCTGTTGTCAGTCGGTAGCTTAGATAACTGTCACCTGTGTGGTCTCTGTAGGTCTCTGCTCCCTGCTTTATCCTGTGTTCAGACCGCTCTGCTTCATCTTTTGGACATGGGCTGGGAACCCAGTGATCTTGCCTTCTTTATTGACATTCAATTACCAGAGCTCCTCATGAACATGTCACAAGAAAATATCAGTATCCATGACAGTGTCATCAGGTAAGAACACAGTCCTGCTCTCTGCTGTTCCTAGAGTGGAGCATGGGCAGGGTGGGGTCAAGGGAGTGGGATCGGCAGCCAAGTCTGAGTAGATCCTGACTTTGCCACAGGAGAGCTGGGTGACCTTGTGGAGAATGCATAGGTTCCATTTCTGAGTGTCTAGAAGAGTACCTGGCACACAGTGGGTAAATTAGCAGCAGTCATGTTATGAACTCAGAAGATGAAGAATTGTCTTTATTTTGGGGCGTCCTAATAGCCTGTGGAATTGGAGAATCCTTTTTAAAATTTTTGTTTATTTATTTTAATTTTTACACTTGTGTGCTGTTAGCCACTATAGTGTCTTGAACATTATAAAGGCTTAGGCTGTATATGAGTATGCATTACTTACCTGGCAGGGGAGACACCATAATCAACAAGGGAATTTTCCCAGGGTGAGGCTCAACCATGACCCTTGTGATCTGACTGGCCCCTACTATTTCCCCAATTATGGGAAATTTGACTGGAATTTGTGATAGTAGAGGACTGTGTTTCTACTCTTTCCTTCATTAAAAGAAATACTATGCAATGTTTTCTTTAATAAGTTTTGGGTTTGTTACAAAATGAAGTTGGGAGTTTATTGAGGCAATATTTTTATATGAATTTAAACAAGTATTGAGAGGGTGGGTCTTAAGAACATGGCAGTGTTATATGCTTCTGAGCAGACGTGGGCTTGGTTCTTCATTCCATTTTTGACCCATGTGGCTCTACCTGCTCAAGCCCATTTAACCTCTCCATTTACTTTGTGTGGAGAGGAGAACAAAAGAGCAGGCATTAAAAGGAGAATTGGGACATGAGTGAATAGACAGCACTCACCTGTTTTCCCTCTCAGAAAAGTTGTTCAGAGAGAAAGGAGGTCAAAGCTGTCTCCTTGGGCCACCTAGGTAGCTCAGTAAATAAAGCTGTCTGTAGCCCTTGACCTGCCGTCAGAGGGCACACAAGGAAAACACAGCACTGGTGACAGCTGCTTCTGTAGCTGTCTATCAGCCTACTGTTTCAAGCCTTGTCTGTGCCAGCACCATACAGTCCCGGAAAAGAGAGGGAGCACACCTTTCACAGCAGTCCCTCAGCACCAGCCCAAGGCTGTGGAAGAGCAAGCAGGCCTGAAACCATTGAGTGGGAACGAATAGATGAGTGGTTGGATGGATGAATGAGTGCTTGTTTTGCTTTTGTTAGCTAGCAGATCTTTTTGTATTTAAATTTTGTTTTAGGATTACTTCTATTTATATGTGTATGTCTGGGTATATTTGTGGTGCCATCGGATGCCAGAAGAGTATGTCTGATCTCCCAGAGCTAAAATGGTGGTTGTGAGCCACCTGATGTGGGTGCTAGTGACTGAACTTGATAACCTTGAAGAACAGCAATTACTCTTAAGCACTAAGCTGTTTCTCCAGCTTAAATTTAAATTCTCATTGCTAAAGCAAACTGTAAACTGAAACTGGTGGAGATTTCTAACTTTTCATGAGAAGCACTCATGAAGTTTCCCACCTAAAACCTTTGATTTGAAGTGAGAAATCAGGAGCAAGGCAAGGTATGATTTAGTCGTCTTTGTTCCTGTGTTCCTGTTCCTTGCTGATTGATTCCAAGGCCTCGCCTATACAAACAAGATGCTTCAGGTCCTCAATAACCCACACACACATCCTCTTGTATACACTGAAACATCTCCAGGTGACTTTGTGATGCTGTATGAATCACTGTAAATACTTGGTAAACAGCTCTTACATTGTGTTACTTAGAGAATAATGACACAAGGATCTACACATGTTCAATACAGGCAATTTTTAAAAGATTTATTTTATTTTTAACTATGTATATGTGCATGTGTCTCCGTGTGGGTATGTGCATGTGAGTACAGGTGATCTCAGAGACCAGAGATATGGATCCCCCTGGAATAGGAGTAACAAGCATTTGTGAGCTGCTGATGTGGGAACTGAACTCCAGTTCTTTGAAAGAGCAGCAAGTGCCCTTAACCTCTGAGTCATCCCTAGAGACAATTTTTGTTTGTTTGTTTTGCTTTTTCAAGACAGAGTTTCTCTGTGTAGCTCTGGCTGTCCTGGAATCACTCTGTAGACCAGGATGGCCTTGAACTCAGAGATCTGCCTGTCTCTGCCTCCTGAGTGCTGGAATTAAAGCTGGGTGCCACCACTGCCCAGCCCCCAGAGACAATTTTTTAAAAGATAGCTTTGACATAATGTTGCCTGAGTCCACAGATGTGGAGGCCACAGATGCAGAAGGTGACTGATGGGTCAAGGTCTCATAGCAACTAGTGGGTAGAGCTGAAGTCACAGATCTCCTGACCCCTTCTTCATGTTGATTCCATTAGGGTGTTCTAACCATGTCATTACTGAATTTATTTTAAACAAAGTTGTGTTTAGTTCAAGCTGGCCTTAGACATTCTGTATAGCCAAAACTGGCCTCAAACTTCTAATCCCCCTGCCTAAGATTACAGGCTTGTGACATTTATGATGTGCTGGAGATCAAGCCCAAGGCTTCATGCAGTTTACTAACCAGGCTAATCCTCAACCCAAACATTATTACTATTACTGTTATTGTTGTTATTGTTGCTATTGTTATTGAGACAAGATCTCACTGTCTATCCCTAACTAGATTGCAACTCACTCTATAGTCCAGGCTGGCCTCTAACTCACAGAGATCCACCTGCCCAGCATGTGCCACTGTTCCCAGCCGAACTTTTTTTAGTTACCTTTTTGACCCCAGTACCTGGCATGTGATAGATTTGCCTTACTCAGTAAGGACTTTTTTCTGTTTTCTGAGTATAAATCCATAAAATAGCTGATAAACCCTGAGGCTTTGAAAAACATTTTCTATCATTTCAAAATGCCCAGTCTATTAAGTACAGAATCTGCTAACTGGCACAGCCTTGGATATTGTAAGAAGCATGCTTTTCTCTTATTACATCTTTCAGCCAGTGGAGTGAAGAAGATGAGCTCGCTGATGCCAAGCAGAACTCAGAGTGGATGGATGAGTGTCAGGATGGCATGTTTGAGGCCTGGTATGAAAAAATAGCCCAAGAGGATCCAGAGAAGCAGAGGAAAGTAAGACCTCTCAGCTAGAGCAATCTGGGTGACTTGCCAGGAGTTTGGAGAGGAGGGCATCCCTGGGGTGTGCTTGGATGATGTCCCCAAGGGGCTCTGGGAATATGTGGGACTTCTGTCTGGTCTTCATCCTGATGTGACCCACCACAGTGGCCTAATTCTGTAGAACTAGGCTCACAGTAGAGTGTCTCATAAGACTCATGGACATTATAAGGTGCCAGTGTATTAATTGAGTAAGAAATGGAATTGCTGAGGAGTTTGGACTGTTCACAGTGAAGATGGAGCTAGCACACCATCTTCACAATGGCAAGCACATTCCAGCTACAAGGCTGCCAGTCGGGGAGCTTGGAAACAGCTGTTTATCATGTGAGCGTTAAATGGCCATGCAGTGGAGGGCCACAGTACCTACTTGCCAGCATGGCCTTGGGTATTGTAAGAAGCATTCTTTTCTCTCAGCAACAGTGCGGTCTCCTGTCTGTCACTGCTACATCTGTCAGGCATCTGCTTCCTTGAAGCCACTAATTTTCCTCATATTAAGCACCTTCTCTTTGCCAGCCACTCTGTTCATTATACCTTTGTGGTGCTTCAGAGGAATACACCAACTAGGACTTGTGACTTCTGTCTTGTAAGTTAACATCTGAATGAGAGTTTCCTGTAGTGCTCAGGTGACCTGGCGGATTTCCTCTTCTACAATGTATCATCTACTACCACACAGTGACTTTCTGACTTCCTCATATGCAGACCTTAAAATAAACTGCCCTATAACCACCAAGTACTTTTCAGTATGCTCATAGCTTGCTCACTTAACAGTCCCTAACTATCTGCTCCCAGAAAGAAAATTAGTTCTCTTAGCTAGGTAATAGAAAGTCTATTGGCTAATTGTGTGGCTAGCTAGTTAGGTAGTTAAAGATGAAAGATTCATATGATCTGAGGAGAAGGCATAGTATTGTTTGTTTGTTTGTTTGTTTATAGAGAGGTCCAGGCTGGCCCCAAACTTGCAGTCTTCCTGCCTCAGTCTCCTAAGTACTGTGATTTTAATGTGCCAGAATCAAGAGTCTTCTTTGCCATTGTCTGACAAATACCAAAGCCAAACATCTGGATGCCATTCTTGACCATTGCTTTATTAATTTGGTCACCAAGCCTTCTCACTCTGCCACCTTCATACTTCTCCAATCTGCCTGCTTTCCCTATCGTGTTTACAACATAGTCCCTTCCCTCATTACCACCACAGAGTTACTTGAACAACTGAGTCACAGTCAGCTCCCCTGACCCTTGACTTGTTCCTATTAATCCATCCTTTGTTGTGCAACCAAGGAACCTTCAGAATGCCCAAATCTATGGCCATTACTTTTCTGTTAAAAACTGTTTTTAAACTCTAATATTTTAGACTCCTTGGAGTTTACCTTTCTAACTTCTCCTGGTTATTCCTCCTCTCTACTCTATTATACATACTAGATTATTGGCAATTTCAAAAGCCCTGGAGTTAGAGAGGTAATTTAGTGGTTAAGAGTACTTGCTGCTCTTTCAAAGAACCCAAGTTTGGCTCTTAGTCATGCATGTCAAGTGGCTCACAACTGCCTGTAGGAAACTAGCCGTAGGGAATTCAGTGCTTACTTCTGCAGGCACACATGAACATGTAGCATACACATATACAGGCGCACACACATGCACATAAATAAGAATAAATAAAAATACTTCTTTTTTTTAAAGTATGCCAAAAAAAACTTTTTTTTTTTTCTCTTCAGTGCCTTGTACCTGCTTCGTCAAGTGCTCACACACTCAACTACATCCCCAGGCCACGCCATGCTCCCTTTTTGCAGGAGCAAAGCTTCTGTAGACTTTGCTGTTCCTTCTGTCTGACATGCCTGTCACCTTTATCTCCTCCCCGTTACCGTCTGTTTGTTCTTGGTCTTAACTGAGGAATTGTCATCCTTGGAAAAACCTATCTTGACCCTTCCAATACCTTTGATAGTATCTGTGATGTTCCCAAATGTGTACTTACTTATCCAACTTCAAATCCTGGCACCTGCTGCTAAGCTTGGGAGAATAAATTGATTAATGGACAGTGGCTGCAATAGAAAGTCTGTTAGCTAATTGTGTCCATTTCACCTTACAGATGCACATGTTTATTGCTCGCTACTGTGACCTGTTAAACGTGGACATCTCTTGTGATGGCTGCGATGAGATTGCCCCCTGGCATCGCTACCGGTGTCTGCAATGCAGCGACATGGACCTCTGCAAGACTTGCTTTCTTGGTAAGCTTCAGGATGATCCCATGCAGGAGTAACAGTTGTTTCTGCTCTCTACGATGTTGCAATTTTAAAACTCTTATGCTGAATAGAGACATTGTCCAGTGGTAGCCACTGATTGATCGACAAGTTGGAGTCATCTTCCTCAACTCAATGATGACCTCCACTGCTCCTATCTGATATCCGTCCCTCTCCCATCCTGCT